TAACTAGTCTATAGATTGAGTTGATCAAATCATCAAGAACACAAGCTCTCTCAATGAGTATTAATTTAAAGCAACGCATGTAATCTATATTTAAATTTGAGCTTTGCGCTCAACCGTTACAATGATAATCATTTCAGAGGGAGAAGATCAACAAAAGCATTTCAGATCTTTCTGCAATCAATAATTTATTTATGAAAGATGGTATCAGCTATTATTCTGGCCCTATTTATAAGTCAATTTTAACATATTTTACTAGTATCAAAGAAAATTTTAAAACTTATTAACTCAGTCTTAAAATATAATAAGTTCTCATTCTATCCCTATTAAACATACACATTTTAATAATATTTTTTCTTTCTTCAACATTCAATGGAGGGTAAAAATGAAATTTATAATAAAAATTTAATAACATGACCCTTAAATAGGATCAAAAAAATTCTTTTCTTTCTGCCTATAAATGGACCAGAGGGAGTATCTACTAGATATGTAGTCCCTTTGTAGTCTCAAATGTATGTGTATATATATATATAAGTAGTTGTTTTTCTCGAAAAAATTTCGAATTCACGAGGAGGATGTAAACTAAAAATTAAGGACAAATTTGAAAAAAAAAATAATTTTTTTTGCCACTAATTTAATTAAGTCAACCGACTTTACTTAATTTTATTGGTACGCGTGTGTAGTAGGTATTGATACATCATCTTAGGCTAGAAGAAGCGTAACCTCTTTTTTTGCCAGAGATGTAATTTTATTGTTCAATGAACATTTTTTGATGACCAAAAACCATCATATTCGTAGGAATATTCTTTCATAGGAAAAGCAATTTTAACAATGTACTTATGATATTATCTAGGCAGGATAAATGACAAATTGGCCCTAAACTATAGATTGAGGAGTGTTTGGAATTTTATATTTATTTTTAGTACAATATTTCCCTTTAAATTTTGAAAATGATATAATACTGTTTCTATTATTAATAAAAGTTAACTTTGACTATTAGTTGATCAGAAAATGATAAAAAATTAAAAAAATAATAGAAAATTAGAGATACAAAAAGTACAAATAAGAACCAAAAAATTACAGTAAAGGGCTAAAAAAATTTTTATTGGCTCCTTTCTGTAATTCTTGAAGTTCTTTTCTATAATTTTTTGATTAACTATTTGTCAAAATTAACTTTTGTTAATGATAGAAGCCAAATTACATAGTTTTCAAATGTTGAAAGCAACGTTGCACTGAAAATGAGTTTAGGGTATCAGATACTTTTTGGATCTCTAGTTTAAGGGCTAATTTACTATTTAACCCTACTATTTATTTACTGCTTTTCGTCACAACGGTGATGATCAAATTCCAATGAAGCTATAAGAAATCACTATAACAAAAGGATTATTTCATCGCCAATACATATTGATAATACTAAATGAGATTTTAATTAATGAGCTGGCTCCAAAAGTAACCCCATACATTATTTACTTAGGCCAAGCTAATTGAATTCGAGGACAAATACAAAGAAACCAGAAAACAAGCTGGTTCTGTGCACCTTTTCATTTCGAGAAGTGTGAGAAGCGTGAAATTTTAAATTGGAAAGATAATTATAAAATAGACTTTTAAATTTTTATGTCAGATTGTAGTTTTTTATAACTCTGCTTACTGTTTTTGTTATGCTTGTAAGTCTGTAAACGTTAAGGAATATCTGCTACGATACTATATACATAAAAATTAAAAGGTTGCTGTCTAACAAGCATTGGATAAGAAATTACCTAATTAATTAAAAATGTAAACAAAGGAATCTCTTACATGTACAGATGAACTAATATATAATTAAAATACACATGGAGTGTGAATATAAATAATGTATTTAGTTTGAAATATTATTCATGATTCAAAAAGGAATCTTTAATTTTGACAGAGGAAGGGAGAGAAATACCTCGCGCAAGTCGAAGTGAATAGAGAGTAGGCATGGCTGGTCATGTTTCTCTATACGCAATAATTTAATGTTTGCATATGCGTGCGCCCGCGCGCGCGCGCACATATTCACACATTTTTTTTCATGATTTTCTAAACTTTTTTTTAAACTGATTTATATAATTTTAAATAATTTTGACTTTTATATATTTAATTTGTTGTTTAAAATTTTTTAGCAAATCAGCTAAGTAGGCGTAGTAAAAAAACTTAGTTTATATGGTTCCATTCTTTACTTTCAATACATGGGCGAAATTAAATTATTCTTTCGGTGATATATCATTTGTACCTCGCTAGTCTTGGATCCTGGGTCCGCTGCTGTTCCCATACTTCTTCTATCCATAGCTACTCTCACAATATTCATTTAATTGTGCATTTGATTTAATAGTGGAAGATCACTAATATTGAGATTAAACCAAATATATTATTATTTATTAATCAAGTATATGATAAGATTTTGAAGAGCTTTTAAGTGATAATAATCAATGGATAGCCATTAGATCAATTAAATGGACGAAGAAGACATACTATGTATCAGAATGGAAAGGGATATATTATATATCTGGTATAAGTGAAAAAAATAAAAAATAATAAAAAATTTGGAACAAGAAGCTTTTCTTAATAAAAAAAAGTAAATGACATGATAAAAATATAGATGATTTGTTTTAAACAATAAAGAGCATGCTTATTTTTATCCTTCACGATATGGTTATCAAGAGAAATGAGTTTTGATAGAATTAATGTTGTTCCTGATCAACTATATGATGGAAGTGAATTTTCCATTAACCGATAAAAAATTTCTATATGAAAATTAAACTAAATATTTTTTTTAAGATAAATGCGATCTTGCATTGATATTTAAACAATGTGTTCATGGTTGAACAATAAATACCAGACGTGCAGAGATGTTGAGTTTCAATAGATAACGAAAAGGGTCTCGAGTTTCCTTACCACAGTTCACTTGAATGTAAAAAGATAGAAGGCTTTGGTAGAACAAGTGTGTGATTTGATTGAAGTGTATTTAGTCCAAACACAATGTAAGAAATAATTGATATTAAATTTTAAGGGAATTAAACACCTGGTGCTTCTCTCATGAGAAAAAGTAATGAATCACAATTTTTTGAGTGAACCATATTTAAATTTCGTCACATTCATGGCTTTTAAGCTCAAGTTTTTTTTTTTTATTGGGTCCCAACATTAGTTTAATAATTACAGCATCGTTTGGAGTCAGCTTAATTATATACGGCAAACGTGTCTTGTAATTTGTTTTCAAAATCGCTTTAATTTGGGCAAATTAAGCTATGAAGTAAATACTATATTAGCAATTCATAGCTGTACTTTCTTATTAAAAATTTCATATATAGTTAATACATATACATTACAAGAAATTTAAATTTAATTACTGTCAGCTTCTTACTAATCATTCACTGAATTTTCCCTTTAAGAAGTAGCACCTTTATTTTGATTTTTTTCTTTTATTTTTTATTTTTACCAAAGACGAATTGAATTTTTCTTTGAAAAAAGAATCAAGTCAAACAAATAACGCAAATCAACCTCATGACAACAGATATGACAAAAGATACCTCGGTTATATGGTCACTGATCTTTTACAAAGTGCAAGATGTTCTTATTTAATAGTTTTCTAATCAACCTATTTATTTATAGACATTCCCATATTTAACAATTGTTTGCGTCAGCTTTTGTTGGTCTTTCTTTAACATGGTTATGTGATTGAATCAAATTTAAACATGTCGACTACAATTGATAGTAGTTAGGTAAATCTGAGGTATTATACTACTTCTTTCCCAAACTAATTTGATTGTTTTTACAAAATTGGGATGTCTTCGGCATTTTTATTTAATGTGGTTGCATATTTTATGATTTGAATTTGAGACCCCAAGATATATGCTTATTTTACTCTCTCAACCAATCTAATCAATTATATATATGTACAATAGCCGCCACTTAGGTTGTAATATAGTGAAAGACATTAATTCTTTATACTTGTTTACAGCAAAAATTAAAAAAGTAATTAAACATGTGGGAATCTAGGGTTTTGATCATCAATCACGTGAAGGAGAGCAAGTCTGTTTTTCAGGCACACATGGTAAGTTGTTAATAGGGAAAATGACAATTAAGAACCCTCTAAGAATATTAATTTTAATTAAGGACCATAACATTTTGAAATCCTAGTTAAGAACCATGATCCTTAATTGGAATAAAAAAAATATAGTTTGTAAGGTGGGATTCACTAACACCATTTGAAATTCATAACTCAACTTGAAAAAATTGCCAATGTATATTGTGAAAACATGAAATTTCACTTGAAAATCTATTGACAAAAAGCACAACTTGAGAATTCACTAACTCAACTTGAAAAAATTTTTTAATGTATATTGTGAAAACATGAAACTCTATTTAAAATTGATTATTTAACAAAAAACTTCAATTTGGACAAGTCACTTTTTGTTAAATAATTGATTTTCAAGTGGGATTTTATTTTCTCACAATATATGTTAAAAATTTTTTCAAGTCTAATTAGTAAATTTTCAAGTGGTACTTTTTGTTAAATAATCAATTTTCAAGTGGAGTTTCATGTTTTCACAATATTATAAATTTTTTCAAGTCGGGTTAATGAATTATTAAGTGACGCTTTTTGTTAAATAATATATTCCCAAGTAGGGTTTGATATTTTCATAATATACGTTAACAATTTTTTCAAGTTAGGCTAGTAAATCCCAAATAGTGTTAGTGAATCCTACCTCACAAACTATATTTTTTTATTCCAATTAAGGACCATAGTCCTTAACTGAGATTTCAAAATATTATAGTCCTTAATTAGGGTTAATGTTCTTAAAGGGTCTTTAATTATCATTTTCCCTTGTTAATATTATATATATGAGGTATTACGTCAAAGCGCTGTCTTTTTTATGAATCCAACCGGATCGAATCTACCTAATATGTAAAGCACAACAAAATCTGTCTGTCTTTCAGTGTCTTAATTATCTTCGATCTAAATAAAAGGTTTTTAGCAAAAGTTGATGATGGCTCCTTTTAGGTCTCACGTCTCTACAAAGAGCAAAGTGATGAAGCCATGGGAAGCCAACACAAATTTGCCGATCCGCAAGGGAGCTTGGACTCAAGAAGAAGATTCAAAACTAGCTCAGGCTATTGCTGTTCATGGACCTCAAAGGTGGAACTTCATTGCTGCCAAAGCAGGTATGTGTATGTCATTCCCCCCCCTCTCTCTCTCTCACATGGCTGCCAAAGCAGTTATATGTATATCATTCCTCTCTCTCCCTCTCTATGGGATCGCTCATATTAGGGTTTGGGGCTTCTAATAATATGCCTCCTTCTAATGCTCTTTGTAATGCACCGCCTTTGTGATTTCATTGTTTTTAGATCATTAGCTTCTATATAATAAAATAAGAGACATTATAATATTTTAAGGTTATAATAAAGCTGTAGATTCTTGTATTTTTTAGGATTTTTCAAAGAAAAATGCCATAAAATTTGATATTTTTCTTTCAAAAATTGTAAATTCTATCATTTCATGACTTTAAGATATTAAAATGCTTTTTGTTTCACGTAGAAACTAATAATAAAAAAAAAGGAAAATGAAATCTTGAAGGCAGGATATTAGAAGGAAGCATATATTTATGACCCCAAGCCCCTGATATCAAAGTGTTTTTATTGGGAAAAAAAGAAGAAGAAGAAGAAGCTTTGAAATTAAGAGGAATAATGTTTTGTCAAGCTTATTGGAGTTTGGTTTATATACATAGGTGTCAAAAGGAGTAGCAAGAGTTGCAGGCTAAGGTGGTTGAATTACCTGCGCCCAAATATCAAGAGAGGAAACATATCAGACCAAGAAGAGGATTTGATACTTCGTCTTCATAAACTCCTCGGAAACAGGTTTGCATTAAAGATTCCCCCCCCCCTTCCCAAATCAAAGGTCATAATCTGGGGAATCAAACACACAAGTGACCACCTAACGTTCTTAATTTATTTGGAGTTATTTTTTATATAATTATTAATAAGTCTTCCAAAACGTTTACAACACAGGTTTTTTTTTTAGTGTTTTATTTGGTTTCTGCTATTGGCTTTTGTGATTGACATTAATAAAATAATTATTTTTCTAGCAAAAAAAAAACGTTTAAAGCACATTACACGCGTTAATTATTATATATAGCATAAAAGAATGACTATTTTTATATATTTTCAATTAAGGACTGACGTTTCTATTTATTTACTCCAGCTTAAAAAGAAATATGCATCGATGAGAAGAGTAATGAACTCACTAATAATACTTGATTAAGGTCATTGACACTTGAGATCTCTTCAAACAATGTCTCAAGTTCAAGTTTTGTGTATTTGTCGTTAGGAAAAAATTTACACTTATGTTATCTAACCTAATTCAATCTAGATGACTAGTTAAGGATAATTCATTGTAAGAAACCATTTTATATTACGCAAAAGAAAGTTTTATGACCTCTAGGGGTTAACTCATACAAGAAAATGCATTTAATTATAAAGTTTAGAGAAAGTGTTACTCACATACTTCAATCTATATAATTAAAATATAAACAGTCCTCAACTTAGGCCACATAATTGATATCTTAATTCTGTACCACAAGAGATATACATACAATGTTTATTTTATATTTTCCTTTAATTTACACTTGAAGTCTAAACTTAAAGGTAATTAATACTCCGGGTTATGTATGTAATTTTTAGGTACTATATATACTCCCTCCGTCCCAAATTATAAGATACTTTTTGGAGAGATTTAATATCTCAAAATATAAGACACTTTGATAAATATAAGGTTTCATTAATGATATTTTTTTCAAAATTACCCTTCTCATATATTATCTCTTTTTAATATTCTTTTACAAATGGTGTATTAAATTAAGGGCACTTTTAAAAATTTATATTTTTATCTTGAAAAAATAAGGTTATAAAGTATATTAGATGAGTTTTATTGGTATGTGTGATTTTATCTAAAAATATTTTATAAATTGGGATGGAGGGAGTAAGATTATTTAAGAATCTTTACTCAACCTAGTAACTTTGTTATAAATATTGTAGGTGGTCCTTAATTGCGGGAAGACTACCAGGACGAACAGATAATGAAATAAAAAATTATTGGAACTCTCATTTGTGCAAGAAGGTGAAGAAGCAGAGAGAGAAGCAAATTGGCCTGTGCCCAGAAAGAGAAGAAGATAAACAAGAAGTGATCATTGTGGAAGAAATTAAGGTTCATATTTCTGATGAGGAAGAAGAGAGAACAAGAGGCGAGAATTCAAATAACGAGGAAGGTCATGAAGAAGAAGAAGAGTCATCATCAAAGCTTGATTTTGATGTGGACGAGTTCTTCAATTTCTCCGAAGAGGACTCATCACTGAATTTGGAGTGGCTTAGCAAATTCCTTAATGATGATTCAACATAGTTAGAGTCTTTTCTTACATTAATTAATAAACCTTCTTGTACGGCAAATCTTGAAATCAAATGAGATTCAGAATGTGTTATCATGAACCTTCATCATATACCTTAAATTATCACACCCCAATTAGTCATATCAATTAGCTTAATAAAGTAGCACTAATAAAAGTGTAAAAGTATTGTAACCGAAGAGTCAAATTGGTTGGACAATCGACTGGGACTTGCTAACAGCCTGATTTGGATTAAAAAACAATTTTCATGATTTTGTTGAGCTGGACCATATATAGTTGAACTGCCATTGAGTTGCAATCCAAAATTGAGCTTAAAACTAGAATAGTTTTCAGAAAACTGGATGGGTTTGAACATAATACAAAAACAGCTAAAAATCTTTTTAAAAATAAAAAGTCCAACAGTTAAAACCCTTAATTATAAAAGTCAACTTTGTTTTTGGATCCTCCGCAAGTATATAACATTATTTGGGATCTCAATTTATAAAGATATTAATAGTTATAAATATAAATATAATGTAGATACTTTTAAGCCTACCTGTGCCTAATTTAACTAATTAAGATTCACATATAGTTAACAAGTTAATTATAATGTATACTATTGATTTATGATTATGTGATTTTATTAACAATTAGACTTGTTGTGGATATATATATATATATATATTTAACATATGCATTCACTATTATTTTTATTTAATTATTATGTCAATGGTTCAACTAGTCTAATCAGTTAGACCATAAAAAAAAAGACTTGCTAAGCTTTTCTGATTTAATGTCTAGTAAGCATGGTGTAAAAGTACCAAAAATTTAAAAATTTTCCTTAGCAATCTTAAGTTACTATTCACTTGACTTTTTTTTTTTTAAATTGCTTACAAGTATCCTCCTAATTTTTTTAATTGCACACCAATATAAATATAATGCAGAAACTTTTAAAGCTACCCATGTTTGATTTAACTAATTAAGATTCACCTATGGTTAATAAGTTATAAAATTATAATTTATAATACTATTGATTTATGATTATGTTGTGGTATTTTATTAACAATTAGACTTGTTGTGGATTTGTTATATATACACATATATTTATATATGCATTCAATATTATTTTTATTTAATTATTATATCACTAGCCAGATCACTAGTCTAACCAGTTAGACATAAAAAGCGAGACCCGTTGACCTTTTCTAGTTCAACGTCTAGTCTAGCTTTTAAAGCGTTGTGCAAAAGTACCAAAAATTTAAAATTTTTCCTTGGCTTCTTAATTTACTATTCACTTGACTTTTTTTTTTTTATCACAAATATACTCCTAATTGCAAGACTTGTACCTAAATTTAACATAACTACCTAATTATTCTCTTTCAAGACTTGCACTTAATTATGCTTATAATTGTTAACCTCCTCTCTTTTGTATTTAATGATATATAAGTGTTTATTATACTATTTTCTTAATACTTCTAAGTGTTTGGCCACCATTTAGATGCTGGGCTCACTAGATTGATGCTTGATAGGGCCAAGTTGAGTGTATAAATTAGATAAAATAGTGAAAGAATTTAATGTTTGCATGATGAATGAATAGTTTTATTAGTAAGATAGATATATACTTGCTAGCCTTGCATAGTCACATTATGGTTGGTGCTTAACATTGTGTTTTATTTAATTGTAACAAGAGATTGGGTTATTAATTTAACTAAACATTTGTTCAAGAATTAAGAGAGATTGTTCAAGTATTTCTAGAACCCTTAATTGGCACTTATCTTCATTAAAAACATTTATGAGAGGTGTAACATCCTAAAATCTTTTAACCTCTAATTAGCTGAGTAAATGAGGGTAATTAAGTAAATTTATGTGGTGTGCGATTACATAGAGCTAATGAATATTTTAGCCCTAAGATTGAGTCTTGAGCAAAGTCGGGCCACTCGACCGTCAAAAAGTAAGAAAAACAAAGAGAAATAACTTTGTGCCACATGTTGTGATGCGTGCATGGCATGCCATGATACATAAGGCATTAGAGAACTAAAATCATTCTTTATACCACATGCTACATACACCCTATAGAAATAAGAATGAGAAATAGATGGAAAACAGAAGAGAAATAAAGAGGAAGCAAGGAGCTCATAGAAACCTTAGTACTGAAGAAAGTAGATTTATCATTGCCTTTTAATGTCAGTCATTAAAAAAACCATTGCTAAAAAAAAGTGGTGGCTTATATGTAAATAAATTGAAAACATTTAACATTGGTTCTTCAAAAAAACTACTGTAACAAGTCATTTAACATCATTTATTACGACAACCAACATGGAAAATTAAGTAAAATTATTTTTTAAAAAAGGTTTTTGGATTTCACATTGGTTATTTGTATAACCGACGTGAAATAATTTCAAAGAAAAAATTTAAAAAAATTAAAGACATTTAATGTTGGTTTATTGAGGAAACCGATGTTAAATGTTTTATTATTAAAAAATTCAAAAAAAATCTTCCCTTTTCACATCAATTCTCTATGTTACTGACGTGAAAATAGGAAACCAAATCGATTTTTTAGAAAACCAACGTGATTTCCTTTCAATTTTAAATAGTTTTATGTCAAATACGTAGAATGCCTTTTTCTCTTTAGTTTCAAAATTGCTCTACTCTAGAACAAAAAGGTCACATCTTTTCCCTCCATAGCCTCTGTCTATAGCATTTGACCATCACTGCCACCTCGGGTCCATCCGTCCACCACCAAGAGCCCATCATTCTGCCTTTTTCCTTCTTCCTTCTTCTTCCTCCGTTGTTACAGGTTAGTCTCTCTCTTTCTCTCTTTCTCCTTCTTCCTCCATTATTGTTAAATCCTCATCTCCAACAATTTTTTGTCCTTTGTTGCTTTGAAGTTTCAAATTTCTTCTCCAACCTTCCTCTTCTATTATTGAAGATTTGAGTTTCGTTTCTTATTCTTCCCGTGGGTTATTCCAAGTGAGTTCCATTTTTTAAATAATTTCCTTTGATTTCTAAACTATTTATCTTAGATGGATAGATTTACATTGAAAGTTTATAAATTTCTGATTATGATTTTTGATATTGTTGCTAAAATTTACAATTTTTGTTGTTGTTGAAAATTTGATAATGCTGAATTTATATTAGAATTTAAAAATGGTTTGAGATTTGAGTTGATTTGGGTTAAATTTGATTGTTAAAATTTTGGAATGCTGTCGAATTTGTTTCTAAACTTTATAATTTTGGAATGTCATTCTTAAATTGTTATTGCTTGGGAGTTTGATTTGAAATTTCTTAGGATTTTATTACTTGAATTTAATTGTTGTTGAAATTTTGGGAGGTCCTATTTTAAGGAAAAATTTTGTCAAAATTTTTTCCTAATCTTTACAAAATTTATATTCTTTTAGTTAGACAATGGATCATAGTTAGATAAATTCTAAGAGAACAAGTGAAGAATATAAGAATAGGGTGAAATATTTTTTTTGAATTTGCTAAAAGGAATGATCATAGTAAAAATGGATTGTATTTTTGTCCGTGTGTAAAATGTTTAAATGAGAGTCGACTAGGTATTGATGAAGTAAAAGAGCATTGTTTTGTGATAGGATAAGTTTGAGCTATAAGAAATGGACATGGCATAGTAAAACCAAAGGATTGAGTTATATTTCCTAAGAGCAAGAAGTAGGTGATGAGAATACTTAGAATGATAGAATAGAAGATATGATCCCTAAAATTGGAATGGAGTCCTTTGCACAAGTGCATTCATATGAGAGCTTGCAGAATGATGCAGAGAAGCCTTTGTATTTGGGGTATAAAAAGTATGCACATTTGATGGGTATGTTGAGATTGGTCAACTTGAAAGCGAGATGTGGGTGGACTGATATGGGTTTTACTTGGTTGCTTGAATGTTTAGTAGATATGCTTCTTGATGGTAGTACACTTCCCAACCATCACTATGAGGCCAAAAAAATCTTGTGCTTGATGGGTATGCAATAGAAAATACTGCATGCTTGCCCTAATGACTGTGTTGCTTACCAACAATAGTTCTTTAGACTACATGCCATGATTTTTTGCATAATAAACACTATAAAAAATTAAAAACTAAAGAGTTACTGTTGAAAGTTTTTAGTGGCGACAAAAAGTTGCCACAATATCATCGCAAGAGCTCTTGTCCCTGATTCTATTTACGGCGACAATAAAAGTCACTGCTAAAAGTTGACAATTGGCTACGACAAATGTCACCATAGAAAAGAAAATTTGTCATCGTAGAAAGATAGTTGCTGTTGAAAGTTGAGAATTGACGATGACAAATTTCATCGCAAAAACCACATATCAACAGTAACTAAATAGTCACCGCTGAATGTTAAGTATCAATGGCAACATTTGTCATCATAGAAACTGCCAATCAGAGGTGACTTTTTTATTAGCATTGAAGTAATGCTGGTTTAATTACCCATGTGGTGCCACATCACCCTCCATGTGGCGCCCTCACCGCACACCACGTGGCATCATGTCACCTTCCACATGTCACTCCTACCTCATGTCACATGTCATTATGTCACCAATTTATATTTTCATTTAATAAGTTGTCTTTTCTAAGGTTTGAACCCATGACCTCCTCCTTTTGTGTTCCACCATTTTAACCATAAAATATATTAAATGAAAACTCATTATATTATTTTATATATTCACTATAAAATTATAATAATAGAACAAAATTAGTATCTTAAACTATTAAATATTATATTAAATAAAAATAAAAATTATGATGATAATACAAAATTAAATTTTCAGTGGTGACATTCAAAGTCATCGTTGAAAGTCTCACTTTCAGCGGCGATTCTAAAAGCTGATTGTCAACTTTCAGTGGCGACTTATATGTTGCCATTGAAATTTATAACATATTTATTATAACATAAGTTGTTAAGAAATTATAACATATTTTAAAATATATTGACAATCAGTGGTGACTTCAAAACGTCATTACCAAAAGTCTTACTTTTTATGGCGACTCTAGAAAGTCATCGATAATTGTCA